GATGGCACTTGCCACTACTGGTAGCATGAGATTGTTCCCCCAGCCCATTCAAGTTGCACAGCTATTCGAGCATGGTGCATCCCTATGACAATGGGGTTTACTGTCTCCCAGCACAGTCTCAAGAGTGTGGAGGACATACAAGGAGAAGGGCATCAACTCAGCAAGCAAGACTGAAGGACCAGGAGAAACACTTCCAGAGCCCTACACGAGCTAGGGGGATACTCATGTGTATGTCACTGACTAAACTGTCAGAAAGAGCCCATGAAAGTGACATCAGGGCCCCGAGTCCTTCAGCAGGCTCTGCGCTCACCACCTAGTACCGTGGAGCTCTGCTGGCACTTAAACTTTTTTAGCGCCACTCACCTTGGCAGCCTTGGCGTACTTCGAAGCATTATAATCTCCACCCATGCGCAGCACATCCTCCATGCAGTAGTAGAACTCAGAGAAGCCATAGAACTGACTGTTGCTGTAGTCAATTGCCGGCTGGTAGACGCCATTGAGGGAGGTTTGGGTGTCATTGGTGCGGTTTAGGAATGGCTGGAGAATTTGCCTACACTGGTCAAAGTCTCCAGTGCCTCGCAGATACAGGTGCTGCGTAGGTGGGCCGATCTCATCCTGCAGGTCAGTGGGTAGACATGGGTCCAGCAGTGGAGACTCCACTGTTTCACCAATATGCTGATCTAAGAGCCTGAATAAATATAATAAATATCCGCAATACAGTGTAGTGCCACCTTTAAAAAAAACAAACAAGCCCAAAAACAGTTTAATTAAGCCAAGAGAATGACCTGCAGATCTCACCTGTTTCGGGCTGCAGTATTTCTGATGAGATTCTCCTCATATCTTTGGCGTGCTGCATTTCCTCCATAACCCAGAAAGGTGGACACATAAACACGATACACATGCTCTGTGCGATGCACGTCACACCCCAAGTTAAACTCGGCCAGTAAGTTCTTGGCGATTTCCTCCTACAGAGCAAACACACATCAGCACGAGAAGTGACTCCCTCCCTCTACTTACGCATATTCAAATTTACACACCCGCACTTCTAAAGTGCGTGTATGCATATAAACACACCTTTATTATTAGAGCAGGGCAGCCATAGTCGAGGCAAGAAAATAAAAGAGAAAGCTAAATATTGTGTCTCAAATAAGGCATCTCAAAACATCAAAGAAGCAGAGATGAACTATCAAGGGAGGCTACAGTCAATCAGTGGCATATTTGCTGAGCCTGCAGCTGGCTTACGGTAGAGTCAATAGTGATGAATGGAGAGTAGATCATACAGGTTTTACCAGGAAATGATAGAGGGTGGAAGAAGGGGAGTGGGGGAGAAAAACAGAGGGTGAGTGGCAAAAACCAAAGAGCACGAAAACAGAATTGGTTGTGGATAATAACCTGCTGTGGAGAAGCAAAGCTTACAGTTTTGGGCACTTCGTACGCAATCTGTGTGGAGACACCACCATGTCCAGGACACCTGTAGTCCTTTTCCTCAACAGCATCTCCTGCTGATCGCCGCCTGGAACATGTACCTCCACTACAGCCTCGCCGTCTTGGGTGATCGAGAGCAAAGGGGTTTGAGATTCAGTTAGTGAAGGCGTATCGTATGAGCACCGCGTTAGCAGATACAAAAGTCTCCATGGATTTAGTTAACATGCAGCACAACAGCCTTTTAGTGGCAAAAACTTAGTACACAACTGCAATGCTACCTTCTTGGATTCTTACCATTGTGCACATGGTCAAATCTTCCAAGGACAAAGTTGATTCCAATCCAAGCATAGACACCTAAAACCAATAAATACAAAGTAAATTATGATATAAGGTTTAGTGTCAGAAAACTTTTCAGTGGCTACAAAGTGATGAATCAAATAAACTCCCACTGTATTAAATATAAAACAACACAAACCATTCTCATTCTGTATAACACACTGATGTTCATTCTTGTGTACTATAAAATTTCATGTTGTAATTTTATGTATTTGTTGCCTGAACTACATCGTTGTAAATTGTCTGATGATGTGTTAAATTTCTTGTTTATTGTTTTCGTCTAACGTGCCAGGAACTCGATATTTCACTGATTTGTTCATTTACATGCACTGTCCCTTTGAATAAACAAATTCAAATTACGTTTCCATTTACGCACCTTCTGTTTTCCAGAAATCACTTCCACGTGGGAATCCGAGAAGAGGAAGTTGAAGTGGACTGGGATATCTGTGCGCAGATCCTCCAGAAGTGCTTCCTGTTGACTGAAATCAAACAAACAAAATAACAAGAACTTTGCTATTTTTAACTGTAACTCAGGTCAGCTCAGGTGTTAACAGATTTGTAGTTCACGATTTTATTCTTATTGGGGTTTTACTTTTCGGGTAGGATTCTCATTCCAGCTGTGCACAGGACATACAAGGGTGTTTCCTGGTGCTTGTGTTTGGGGATGTGCTGGGCTGCAAAGCTCAGCAGTGGGTATATATAATCACTGGCTTTCTCCGGTGTTTTAGCCAATTCGGAAATACCTGAAGGAAAACACACATTAGATCGCAGCGGGTAAATAAAAGGCAGTACAAGATGCTGAAATGCGTGCATCACCATATAATATTGTGATAACAGTTTGAGCCAAACACTGGACATCTCACCTGGCTTGATTTTCATGACCACTGGCTTGCGGTTCTGATCTCGCATTTGCCGGATGTCCAGCAGTTCGTGGGGATTACCGTTGTGCCGGGGCCAGCAGTACACGAACACCCTGGAGCCACTGCTGCCACAGTCCACTACCAGACCGTAGTTCAGGTTGGGGTTGGTTGTGTCTGTTGCGTCGATATCAGTGACCCTGGCTAAATGCCTGTTGAGAATCGTAAAAGTTAGAAATGATGCTTCCCATGTTTACTAGGACATCTACAACTGGATAGTAGTTGTGTAAAACCTGTGGAAGTGATTTTCCTTTGTGATCCAGCTGACGTGCCCCTTTCCAGCAACAAGCAGCAGGTAGAGCAGCCCTATGAGGCAGACCACTAGACTGATGAAGAGCAGCTGTCTGATTGATGGTATCAGGAGCCGAGGAAGAACCTGGGATGAGAGGCTGAAGTGCCACGAAGCTGGGAAAAGGCACGAAAAGCTGATCCTGTCAACAAAAGGTAAGAGAGCCTCAGCAAAGTATGAAACGTCACAGATATGTGAAAGGTATGCAAGGAGAAACCAACCTTCCCATGATGGACATTTCTTCTACTTGTTGCTTTACTTATCACTATAAAGCATGAAGCTGGAAGATGAATATCTGCCTTGTTCCAAACGTCCTGATGTCTTCATTTATCATTGTGACCTTTTAGGGGGCAATGTTATAAATTAACAGTTATTCGCATTTTATTTTGAGGGGAACTTGAGCTCTTTTATCAAGAAGGCCCGCAGAGCCGGTACGACACAGGACATGTAGCATATTATCGCTGTAAAGGCAACGTATTTAAACTACAGACAGACATTAGCCAAACAGGAAAAGCACTGCTTATAAAAGGAAAGCCGATAAGCGCTCACACGACCTAACATTTGCGTTTCAGACGTTTGTGTTTAATAACGTTTGACTTTGGTTGTAGTAGAAAGCTAAATGATCCTATTTTGCGCGTTTTTACTGATCGTCACTATAAAACCGGTAATGTGACGTGTTCACAGCTCCTAGCCGGTTTATTACTTACTAGGAAAGGTGTGAAATCCCCCCTTTTCTTGAAAATGTGGCGTTTATTAGCAGCCAGATGCTAACCTCTGGCTAACTAACGTAAAGGTACGAGAAGGAATCCGGTGAGTGACGTGGTAGTCGAGACGTGGTGATGATTTTTATCTCCGCGTAGCCCGGATCGGAAGCCTGTGAGCAAACAGCCGCCCGTCTGTTTTTTTCTTCTTCCACGTCTAATGTAGGGATTATGTGCAATACCGCCACCTACTTCCTGGAATTAGGTAAGAAATGATCCCCAGGTGATGTGAAATCATCGTGTTTAAAGGGAGAAGTTAGGAAAGAAAAAGAAAGGTGTCAAAGGTTTATACTGAGTTGTGCGCACGGATGGACACCAGGGTAAGGAAAATGACTTTTATTGACTGACAGGCAGAGATCATGTGCAGCAAGTTCAGGTGATTAAGGACAGGTATTGAAACGAAGACACAACACGTGTATGAATGAGATGGAAACAGTTTAATATGCGAGAGGTAGGAGGACGAGTTTAATTACTTGGGGTCAAATATCCAAGGCAATGAGAGAGAGGTGAAAAAGAGAGCATACAGTGTGGAGTGTCAGGAGTGATTTATAACAGAAAGGCAACAGCAAGAGTGAACGGGAAGATTTACAAGATGGTAGTGAGATCTGCTATGGTGGGTGGTTTGGAGATGTTTGCACTGAGATGTTTTCATTGGGAGTGACCAGAATTGACAGGATTAGAAATGAGTACATCAGAGGGACAGCACAGGCTGAGCGGGTTGGAGACAAAGGTAGAGAGGCAAGGCTGAGATAGTTTGGACATGTGCAGTGGATTGATAGTGGATATAAAATCATAAGTCATACACAAATCCACTCATGTGGTATTTAATATAAGATTTATAGCTTACTGAAAAGACAAGACATTAATATTGACTTTCTAATAAGTTTGAAAAACAATAACAAATGATTTAAAACATGGTATAAATTATACAGCACATTTTCAAATGTATCCAAGTTACTGTAATAACTCTTTTTATATAAGACAAGTCATCAAGTGTAATTTCAATATGTTCTCTCAGTGCAAAAATAACCTGTGATAACCTGCCAAAACTCGTAGAGCTATAGTAGAACCTCACACTATAAAAGGTGCACAGTAGTTTTATTTGCTGTACGTGAATCCACTGGTAATCTCTTCATTATGCCCAGACAATTTGAACATTACTGCACTTCTTGCAGGCCAGCCACTCGGAGCAACTAATTTGCCAGCAGCAACTCACATCCATATACTTCAGTCTCTTGCTCTGCTGTAATAAACTCTTCACTGTTCTAATCGTCACGTCTGTCCGCTGCAGATCAACGTGGCGTACCCGACCGAGCGGCACGAGAGGTGAGCCTGTGGATTCTGCAGAAGCACGCGGCTCATAGTTCTCTGTGCGTAGCACACTCTGTAAAGTGTAGTCCAAGGGGCACGGCAGGGAGACGAGTGAGAGCTTCTCCAGTAAAGGGAACCGGTCAGGAGACACCTGAGGACCGTCTTCAGGGACATCCAGAACATGGCAGGCTTTATTTGGCTGTGCTCATAGGAGAAACTTCAGGGAGAGACAAAGAAGATGAGGAAAGATCTTTGATAGATTGCCAAAGTCTTGTCTGCTTATCAAAATATAATTTTCTGGCCTCATTTCTTAAGTTTCAAATAATTACTTCCTCTCACTTTATTTTGTTATATGCCACAACACGGATAGGTGCTACCGAGGCAGAAAAAAAGCTTAAAAAGAAGAATATGAACACTATAAAGGCCAGCGTTATCTGTACAATAGGGCCTCTTAAGCCTGGCAGCAAGAATAGACTTGATTTTCCTCTAATGGCATGATTAAATGTCAGATTGATGTGAAACATCATTATGAGCAGCCTACTACAAGAACACACAAAGAAACAGTGTAGAATCTTTACTGACGGGCAATACTTCCTGGTATACCATAAATAGTACCTCAGCAGTAACCTTACCTGAGTGTGAGAGAGCAAAGGTTAGGCAGACGTGGAAGATCTCCATTGTCCTGTTGATCCTCCTCATGTTCTATTTGTAGGAAGGAGGGAGAAGGCTCAGCAGAAATGAGCAGGTCTCTGAGTCTGGGACAGGCCCTGATGACTGGCAGGAGTCTGGTGTAGGAGTTGGTTTTCACCCCTTCAAGTGTAAGAGAAATCAGAGAGGACCCTGCAACTAACAGAGAGGGAAGGAGGTTGTCCAGATTTCCTGGGAATTGGACTGAGAGTCTCTGCATCTGACCGGACCAGGCCTTGAGGCCCGCGGCTAACACAGATACCTTGCTTCCTCCTCTAGTGTTTTCATTACTGTCAACACTCACAGACATGGAGCAAATGCCTGGACATAAACGACCTAAACTATCCAGAGAGTCAAAGGTTAAGCCCTTAACATCCTTCAGTTTCAGGGCAAAGTCTGACTGTGACCGATGTGTCCTTTTTTGCCCTGACTGCCTCTGAGAGCAAGGCGGCCCTTCATCTCTACTTGTATCTTCCTCACTCCCACTCCTATACTCCTCCCATGATATCCCCTCCTCCTCTTCATCCTCATTTTCTCTATCCACTGCTGTTTTTTCTCTCCTCATTCTTAAATTATCCTTGCCCTCCTTGTCCCTTCTTTCCTGCCAAACCTGTTCCAGCTTGGCAACTCCTTCCCTGCTTGTAAACTCGTCTGCCAGGCTGAACTCTCTGTGCTCGATGAGGCAGCAGGCCTTTCTATGCCCTCCATGGCTACTCTTTCCAGGGAGGGGAGCGAGAGAAGGAGGTAGGCTGCAGCAGCCACAGGTTCTTCCTCTTGTACCCCAAACCCAATATCCAGAGCCAGCAGACTGCTGAGGGGAAGAGGAGCCAAGGTTGCAGGAAAGGATGAGGACTGATCAGAGCAGGAAGTGGAAACAGAACTCTGAGCTTTAAAGGGACTGCCTGAGGATGAGCAGAAAGCCCCACCTCCAAGAGGAAGCAATGCACCTGGGGAAAGCAAATGACAGTGGGATACATCTAGATGCCGCAACAAACGGCAACGGTGAGCGATTGTTCTGATTACATGCTTGTCACAGGACATGCCAGTCAGAGAGAGGGAGCGCAAAGCAGGAAGGCCATGGAGGGTTTCGGAAATGACCTTTGAAGGTAGCTGCTGGGCTCCAGACAAATCCAGATCCTCAAATCCTGAGACAAAAACACAGAAAATTCAGACTCACAATAAATAATCAGACAGAGTAAAAGATGAGACACGGACATGGAAGCGGTGGTTTCTCTCTAACCTGGCAGCGTGCAGCAATGTGAGTGCAGAGGGCTGGGGTGACCAAAGCAGGACAACTTTCCAGAGACAGACCTCGAAGCTGGGAACCAATAGGAGGTGGAGGGCTGCCCTGGACAACTTCTTTCTGCTGCACAGCAGGCATGTCAGCTCCTCAACCAGTTCACTGGCTACAGGCAGAGTTAAAGAGTAGAAAAAGAAACATCCACAAAGATATCATTAAGACACGTACAGCAGGGATCACTTATAGTGATTTAATCAAATCTGTGCTGCTGCTTTTTTAAATTTCTCCAGTTATCATTTTTTAATTAACTCACTGAGTAAGTTGAAAGGCCCCATGATGTATCTGAATGAATATTGATCCAGGTAGTTATCGGTATAGTCTTTCACCCACACTTTTTTCATGTTGTCAGCAAGGCTTAGCAGAGACAGCTGCCTCAGTGAAAGGACCGGACCATCTTCATCTGTCCTCCAGCAGTCTCCTGTTCTCTGCCTCCTGCGCCCAGGTCTAGCCTTCGCCCCACCACGTTCAGCCAAAGCCCGAAATAGGGGCATTGTGGGATTTCAGCTGACTTCAGGGCTGAAGTGGTCAAATGCAACAAGTGATGAAGGGTTAAAAGTAGAAATTGCTTTCTTTCATAAATTCATAATGTTGATAAGGAGTTTTAACTCTTGTGTAATTTGAATGGTGTCATTAGGATTGAAGTTATTTTACCAACAATGTTAAAAAAAAAAACCCCATATATAGACACATATAAAACTGACACGGTGCACACACCCCTCCTCTCACCGATCAGCGTTCATATCTAAACATTAAAACATACTAGCTGATGTTAATAACTACTTTGGTGTTCGTGTGTGAATGAGAGTGTGGGTGGTTAACCAAGCTACCAAGGAGTGAGTCCCCTTGTCCTCAAGACCTGTGCCCCCCAGCTGTGTGGAGTCTTTCATAAACTGTTTATGCTGAGTCTGAGTCTGCAGAGGGTCCCGGTGATGTGGAAGACATCATGCCTCGTCCCTGTACCAAAGACGCCTCGTCCCAGTGGCCCCCAGGATTACAGGCCCGTGGCACTGACCTCCCACATCATGAAGACCCTGGAAAGGCTCATCCTGGACCAGCTGCGACCCATAGTAAGACCACATCTGGATCCCCTTCAGTTCGCTTATCAGCCTCGTCTCGGAACAGAGGACGCCATCATCTACCTGCTCAATCGTGTCTACACCCATCTGGACCAGCCGGCGAGCACTGTGAGGGTCATGTTTTTTGACTTTTCCAGTGCTTTCAACACCATCAGGCCGACCCTCCTGGGTGATAAGTTAGCAGCGATGCAGGTGGATGCTTCTCTGGTGTCCTGGATTGTTGATTACCTGACAGGAAGACCACAATATGTACGTCTCCCACAGTGTGTGTCTGACAAGGTGATTAGCAACACAGGGGCACCACAGGGGACTGTCCTCTCCCCCTTCCTCTTCACCCTCTACACCACAGACTTCAGCCACTGCACAGAGACCTGCCATCTTCAGAAGTTTTCTGATGACTCTGCGGTGGTTGGATGCATCAGCAGGGATGATGAGACAGAGTACCGGGCTGTGGTCGACTCCTTTGTCACGTGGTGTGAGCAGAATCATCTGCAGCTCAACGTGGCAAAGACCAAGGAACTGATCGTGGACTTCAGGAAGACCAGGAAACACTTGACCCCTGTTTCAATCCAGGGGTCAGTGTTGACATTGTGGAGGACTATAAATACCTTGGAGTACACATTGACAATAAACTGGACTGGGCTAAAAACACCACAGCACTTTACAGGAAGGGCCAGAGTCGTCTCTATTTTTTGAGGCGACTGAGGTCCTTCAACATCTGCCGGAAAATGCTGAGGATTTTCTATGAGTCTGTTGTGGCCAGTGCGATCCTCTATGCTGTTGCATGCTGGGGGAGCAGGCTGAGGGTCGCAGATGCCAACAGACTCAATAAACTGATCCGTAAGGCCAGCAATGTTGTGGGGATGGAGCTGGACTCCCTCAAGGTGGTGTCGGAGAGGCGGATGCTGTCCAAGATAAAGACAATGTTGGATAACACCTCCCACCCACTCCATGACATGTTGGTCAGTCACAGGAGCACGTTCAGTGAGAGACTGAGATTACCGAAAAGCACCACTGAACGACACAGGAAATCATTCCTGCCTGTGGCCATCTCCCTGTACAACGCATCCACTTAACACACTGTTTGCTGCTACAGCTACACATGTTTCTTTTCCAACTATTTATTTATAAGTGACTTATGTATGTATGTATGTATGTATGTATATATGTATATGTATATATTGTACTATTCTTAGTTGGTGTATTGTCTGTCTTGTCTTAATGTTGGTTTAAAATGGAGCACTGTAACAAAAAATAATTTCCCCCAGGGATCAATAAAGTATTCTGATTCTGATACAGTAAACTGTTAACTATCAGTGCTGCTGTCTAACTAACTCGCCTTTGTAGTTACGGAAAGATTGAAAGGAGCAGAATGTATTGTTTAGAATAGTTTCCAGTGCACTGACACCTACCTGGCAGATGTAACAGTGTGCTGTCTTGTCGTTATGCGAAAACAAAGCACAGTTGTGCCTTGCTCTGACGCTTTCAACACTTCCTGACTGGACGCTCGTGGAACATTTTCCCCTGAGTTTTGTCTCCCAGGAGCACTTCGTGTCAGGTTGCCTGACTCAAGTGAACTTCCCCGGTCTGAAAGTCCAGCGGAAAAAAAGCAGTGCTCGAGACTTCACTGGTAACCCGGTAGGGCTTTCTGAAAAACTTAGGGAGGGACCGAGTGTCACTGAACGTCAAGTTACGTTCAAGGTCAGTGTGAAGTTTCGGAAAAAAATGTTATAAATGCAAATTAACTGATTATTATCACTTTTGTTATCTTATCTGCAAGCAAATTGTCTATGAATGTAATACTAATCATTAATTAAGGCGTTCTGTATTACTCTCAGGAAAAGTCTTTTAATTATGTGCCTGTAAAGTAACTTTAAATGCTGATATTCGTGAATCTTATAAATTAATCTTGAACTGTGTTTAAGATACTTGTTGTTAATTAAAAAGGTTTACAACCTTCCAACATTTACTTATGTTGCAATGCCACGACGCAAAATACGAATACTTTATGTAATACCACTTTGTACCACACGATGGTGCTGCAAGACAATAGTAGGACTGAGTCTACGATTGAGAGGAGTAAATATCGATGTAGGCAATTAAGATAAATAATTGAACTTCCGCTTGTCTTTCTACACAATGTGAGCGCTCAAAAGCTTTCTGCTACAAGTCTCATTCACACAGTCACACATGTATATATTTTATCTATATACCTAAGCACTTTTACCTGAGTGTGTCTGCACTTAGATATCGAAAAAAGCACTTGTATGAACGTGTGTGTGACTGGGTGACTGAGGCTTGTAGTAAAAAGCACTTTAAATGGTCAGCTAGAGTACAAAAGCTCCATAGAAGTCCATTTATCTAACATTCGCACACAAATGAAGCAAGGTTCAATATTTTACCCAGAATGCTTCAAGATCAGCTTTCAGACTGGTGGATGACACGCTCCACCACGTGAGCCGCCCTCCAACCTTACAGTACCTGGTTTCTGAGGTGGGGTCCCATTCAAGTACTAAACAGGCCTGATGCTGCCCAGCCCCTGAGATCAGATTGATGAGATCAGGTGTGCTCAGGTGTTATGGTTGTAAGCTGTAAATCTGTTAAAAGATTTGGGTAACTGGGCTTCCGTGTTCACTGGTGTACCTCATGGATTAGTCAACAGGAGGTTATAGGCCTACATTTATTTCAATTAAATCAATAGAATTAATTGTGCCAGTTTAAGCCATGAACAGGATACCTGAGCATGCACCGTTCAAAACAATCACTAAAGTCTTTTTCACACATAAACCTGAGAAACTGTCTGTAGAATCAGGACCATCCAAAGTGTCACTTTTACATGCACAGCAGGAAAAAAGTCTTATTCAGACTCATTCTCACTCTGGGAAATATTCCATTTGGTTTAGAGACACATGTTTAGACAGCGCCACTGTGGGTGGAGTGCAGACAACCAAGTGGAAAAATATGAAGTGAAACTAAGTTGAATAGAAGTCTTTTTTTTAGACATGAACTTTTTTAACTTGAGGGTAGGCATGTGAGAGCATCTCTGCTACTTTGCTTGCAGCTATTAGCTCAGTTGAAGAAAGTTGCTCAGTTTATGGGCTGAAAGATTTTGCTCTTTTCAACAAATCATTCACAAATAACACAACACCACCTCATCAAGTTAATTGTATTGCTGTTTTGTTGTATGTTTACAATGGGTGAAATAAAAACGCTGTTTCTGTTTTGTTTACTTTTTTTCAGATAAAAGTGCTTTATGATGCTTTTATACTGTAACTGTTCCGACTACCGTTTTCTCCCACGAGTGGCTGTGAATTTTAGCGTGACATCTTCTGTTTTATGGGACGTTTTAAAAAAAAAAAAGAGAAGAAGCCTTGATGTCAGTAGGACATGCCACTACAGCCAGCTTCATGTCTCCAGGCTGTCTCTCCCAGACTGTATAAAATTGCTAATTGAAGGATGTGTAAGCTGCCTGTTTTGCTGGAAAGAAGGGCCAGTGTGTATTTTTTTTTATTCCACAAAAAATAAATTGATAACTGCAAATTAAATATCAAAAGAAATCAATACAATCTTGGCGTCATTCTTTATTTCAATCACAGATGATGTCACACATCAAAGACGAGCAAGTTTGCAAGACTTGACTTATTACAGTGCGATAAAAAATTAGCAGTTAAAAAAATTAGACTTGTCTTAAATACAAGTATTAAAGCTAATACATATTATGCAATAAGTTCAAATTATTATTCTCTTCATTCCCTAACAGCTGAAAAAGTCTGTTACAGTAACCTATACATAGTCTGTTTGAACTATAACTGGCAGCACTGACACACTGAAAATATTCTCAGTGAATTAAAGCTGACTATGGATTTGTATGACCACCAGGTAAGTTAGTAACAAAAAAGTTTGGAAATGTTTCATTTTATCGTATATATGTATAGAAAAAGTCTCACAATTTAAAATGTAAGACCTCAGTTAAGAGCTTTCTATTAAGCAGCAAAACCCCAGTTCCCAAAAAGATGGGACTCTATGTAAAAACCCATATTTAAATTACAATAAAATACAGAAAACATATCAAATGTTTAAAATGAGAAAATGTATGATTTTATGAATAAATCTTGGTTGATTATGAATATGACATCAGCAGCACGTCTCAAAACAGTGAGCAGAGGACAAGAAAAGGCTGGAAAGGTAAGTGGTACTAAAAAGAAACAGCATGGTTTCATAGTAGAAGAATCTGGGTGGTGGCCTGCCTGCAGTACAGGCATATTATGAAATGGAAAATACAGCAAAGAAGACCCAGGACTGTTGAGGAGCTACAATGCTCAGGCCAATATATGACAACATTCTTCCTCAAGAAGTCCAGAAATCTGTCTCCTCACTTTCTAAACGTTTATGGATTGCTGCTAAAAGAAGAGGGATGAGGATTTTTGGAATTGGGGTTGTATAATCATGTGCTATTTGGTATTTTATAATCAGAAGTCGAGTCAGTTCCAGTTTTTGGATCACAAAGGATGCTTTAGCTGCACAAGCATTAAAAATTGGAGCATCAACCACTGAAGATAATCGGGTCAGGCACTGCAGTGGCACACTGAGCATCTTTAAATCACAAGCACAAAACTTCGTGGACAATTGTGACACTGAAACATCAACCCGCAATAGAAAACTAGTATTTAAAACTTCTCCAGGATTTAAAAAAAATAATAATAATTTAAGGAAGAAGTTTAAATAATAAGCATGATGACTTTGTGAACAAATGGAAGATTTAAAAAAGTGCTTTGTTAATCAGAGAGTGGTGGTGCATTAGTAGTAGGCAAAAATGACACACACCTGGCTCTCTTCTGGCAACAACCGTCTAAAAAAGTGCAAAGTTCAGTTATTAAATCCCTTATTCTCCTTTTTACAATGTAGCAGTTATGTTTAAAGACTCATGCAGCAGACTGTATTCCAGCTCAGGTTACCACTGGGCTTGTGTGAATTGAAATACAGTCTCTGTTTTATGCTCTGATTAATTCAATTTTGTCTCTTTTGCAGGCACAGGGTTGATTTCTGTCGTGTTGGATATCCTGGACCTGTATTTTAGGCTGTGAGACAGGTACAGTTGTATTTATTCTGTGATCGGCACCACCCTCCTGCCAGCTACAAACACCTCCACGATGTTACGATCATCACCTGACACAGAAAAAGAAAAGGAGATAAGCATAAAGCAAATGGCTCGTAACTAGGGATGGGTACCGGTATCCGGTGCCATCTGACATAAACGGTAGTAACCAGACCGAAAAGCAGCGAACATTTCGGTGCTTTTTTTCCTGAGCTGTGAAACACTTTAGATTCTAGCCAATCATTTTACGTTTCCGAGGATAGTAGGCGGGCCCAGGTACGTACGTTCTTTAGAGCAGAGCTACAGATTAAAAATGCCCAAGGCGAAGCGGTCAAAGTCTGTCTGTACTTCACAGCAAAATATGCAAACTCAGCAGCCTGCAACAAGTGCTTTAAGCTGATACTGTCAAAGGAGGTAACTCCTCAAATCCGATGAAACACCTGGCGACGCATAGCGTTTTTTTTTTAAAAGCCGAGAAATGCGCCGTATTTGATAGCTTGCTGCGAGACCTCACACCGTGCACATCTACTGCGGGTGTGGTGCCTGTTATCGGATTCGGAGTTTGCAACATCCCCAGAGAACCCGAAGAGGAGAGTCCTGGCCCCTAGCCCTGCCAGTGTAGCAGAAATGATGACGGATGATGATGGCAGCAGCAGCCGTTCTTCTCTGCGTGAGTAGCTTAATGTTGTTCGTGTGTAATTTACGCTGAGTAGGCTAACCACGTTATTACATTAATGCACGTAAGGTGAACTAGCAAACACCATCATAACTACATGCAGCTGTCTTCTTGTTTGATGGCAGATACTCCCTTCACCCTGGCCAAAAAGGCTAAAATGACCAAAGAAAAAGTGGAAAACAGTTAAACACGAGAAGTTTTTGGACAAAGTTTGTGTTTTTTCCATTGATTAAGCACTGCCTCCAGCCAAGAGTGACACCATATATGCCCCATAGCTGCAGAAAAGGCACACATTGTTATCTTTTTACAAAAAAAAACAAAAAAAAACAAAAAAACAGCTGAACATGAGAGGTTTTTGGACCAATTTTGTGTTCTCCATTCTTTAAGCACCGGCACCGTTTCAAAAGTACCGGTTTGGCACCGGTATCGGATAAAACGTAAACGATACCCATCCCTACTCGTAACACATCAAAGTCACATTAAACTGAGATTTTCTGGAGCAAAAAGAAAGTGACACTCACCCAAATTCAAGAATTTTTCCAAAAGAATCTGAAATTCAAGATATTATAGATTATTGTGAGACTCCAATTAGAGTTTATTTAGTTAGTTTGTTTTGCTTTAATTCATTCATTTCAACCAATTTAGACCAACCTTTGGTTCCTCATCCTGGATGAGATCGATAGGCCCACCCTCAGCAGCTACATTAATCCTCAGGGCATCAAAGTCTTTGCCAACTTCAAAGTTCCCTGTTTGGTCATCTAAGGACAAGGCTACAGAAAGACAGGCATAATAAATAAACAGTTTCTTAATGTGGGGACAGTTAGTTCATCAAAAAGATGAGATATATGACTACATAGCTACTGAGCACATGCCTATTACTATTTCTGTTATCATAATAGTGCTAATCATAATGTTTACTAAAGAACTTCTAGTTTTGAATGGCTTACCCTGACTGCCTCCCAGTGTGGCTATTCTGAACACCTCCTCAAAACTGAGTGTTTTGTATTTTGGGTCCTGGATGGTCAAGACTTTAGATGCATCCAGAGCTCTCCTCACAGCATCGAGCATAGAGGCGGAGTAGCCTCCAGCCACATCTGGTACAGCACCACAGACACAGACAGGACAGGGCAAGGAAAAAAATATGAAAAGCAGCCACTTGGTTTGTCAGGATTTCCAGGATGGCGTTGTCAGGTTTTCCCTATAATCGTAAAAACGTTTTGAACATTTGCTGTGGCACCATTCTAGTGTTAGTGTGTGACATCACTGGTTCCTGGATCTTTTCCTTATTATTCCCCACCACTTCGTGCTGCAGCAAAAGCATCTATTAAATCAAAAGTTTTATCAACTTTGAGCTTAACTTCACACCTTTAAGCTGACCTGGATTCTGAAGCTCCCAATTGTATAATAAAACTTTAAAGTGATTGTTGCTGAAGATTAGTTAATTAATAACAATGTGCACTAGTGTGGGCCAGAGTTTACAAAAGCTTAATCATCACACATCATTTTATGACTTCCTTATGGTGTGAATTGGTCTGCTTGCAAAATTAAAACTGTGTTCACACTTGCTCTGCTCTCCCACCTGTTCCCAGCCCCAACTTTACTTTGTGTTTCAGGACGTTGCGGACATTTAACACTCCACTGCACAACCTGGATAGATGGTGAGAGAGAGAGAGATGACAATCAAACTCATTCATTATGTAAAACTTCATAGACTTTATTTCATGGCTCTTGGTCAGATATGGTTCTAGAAACCATAAAGTACTTACGAAAAGTTGGAATTGGGACAGTGGGACAAAGAGGCTCCAGTCTCTCTGAACAGAGCCAACTCTTCATCACTGAGGTGGCACCCGTGGGCCATCACTGTCTGTGAATCACCCCATCATTAATAGTGTCAGTGGTTGTAAGTATTTATATAATGTTTTGTGTAAAAATGTCTGATCGTGTGCAGGCAGGAGTGTACTAACCTTGTCAGTTAGCAGGTTGTGTTTGCGATAGACATCTGTGTAAGACTCTGATTCGGGAAACAGCTCCTTTACAAGCTTTACTTCCTCATGAGTTTCACTGATATGACTCTGACAATGAAGAAACACATCAGATATTCAAGTGATAGCTTAAGAAAACCTCTGACAAAAGCTCTAGCATTCAGATTGAGTGGCAGCACAGTTGCTGCATTACGCCAAACATGTATGTGTGCATTTTACCTCATCGTCCCAACATTACATTGTCTCTTTGGAATACAAGTCTCCTGCAGACATAGCCTAGTTTGACTCACCTGAATGTGCAGGTTGTTATTTTTAGCGATTTCTCCCAGCTGCTCGAGCAACGCTCCTGTGCAGGATGGAGCGAAACGGGGAGTCACCACAGGCTTCACTAAAGGGTACTACCCTCAGAGGACGGAAGGAGAGACTATCAGAAAACGTATTTTTTCTAATATCTTTGAAAAGTCCTGTTTATTGTATTAAAGAATCTTACCTTTTTCTCCAGAAGCTCTTTAATGAACCTTCAGAGAGCAAATTAACAATGTAGTTTATTTATCTGTGGCAGATACATTTACTGATATCAAAAATTATCTATTTTTGCAACTGAAACTTGTGCTGAGAACAGATCTGCTGGTAATCATGTGTACTGAAGCACAACTGGCATATTTGTGTGATTTAATGTCATATATTTTGTTTTCATGTGTGATTCTGTTAAATTGGGACCTTAAAATTTTAATTCAGGGAAAGATCCTAAGTAGAATTAGATTCAAGGTTATGCCATAAGGGAGCATCCCTTACATTAAGGTTCTGGTTTTCTTAAAGCTCCGACCTCAACCCCATTGAGAATTTGTGGACTACGCTCAAAAGCAGAGTTTGTGCAGGAAACACAGGAACTCTACCAGTTGGTCAAATATTCAGCCAGAATCATGCCAGAAGACTATGGTTGAGGTGCAACTTGCTAAGTGTATTTATATATTTGAAACCGTATGTAATATTTTGACGCTGTGTTGATTACTGAAAATCCCATGTAAATCTAAACTTTTGGAACCTATTCTTGGCTTTTACACTCATCAAAGATGTGTGCTGTACAATCATTCCACCACAGAAAACAATCAGTTAAAAAAGACCATGGCAGCCAAGCCCATGAGTTTATGTTGACTTTTGACCACAATTACAACCAAACAGGTGATACCTTCACTGTTCTTTTCCACTACTGAAAAGTATTTCTTTTTACCATATAGTGTTGACATGTCTGTCTATGATATCAGATTAACTCCCACAAAAAAAAAAAAAAATTTGTAACACATTTGGCATCAATCTGGAAAAATCTGTATCAGGGTCTCTGACATAAAGGCTAAAGCTTAACTGCCTCTTTTACGATCCAGACTAAATAATTACAAAGTAACCAAACCTGTTCTGTCATGGAATATCTTTACATTGAAAGAACATTGTAACACAACATCTGCTTTACGGTATTAAGCATCTAATACCTACCGACAGGTCTCGTCTTGAGAGTCCTGCAAGGTCTCTTTGTAATGTTTCACACAATCGTTCCTGTCCATGCACACCTTGCCAACCAAAGCACGCTGTCCAAAGTCATCTGCAAGAAAGGCATCAGTGAGTAAACAGGAACATAAGTAAACATTCATCCTTTCAAAGCTGTTACTGAGTATTTGATTTAATTAGATTTTTGAGGACAAAGCTCAGTCATTGTCAACTCATGTTAAATGAAGAGTATTTGTGCAGTTGCGATGCTCACATATAATAAACAGCCTCCGTAATGTCACCTGTGTGTCCTTGAAAGGCCCTACACATGTCAGAGTAAAATCTTGTTCTAACTCCTTATGCCAGTCATCTGATATAAATGCACGCAGAGCCATTTTCTAAATAAATATTGTGTAATGTGGAAGTTAGTGCATTTTAGTGCTAAACAGGTTCAGCAGCACCGCTTGCAATAATATGGCTTTTTGTTTTGATAGGACTAAAGATAGTTTAGGTCAGTCGTTCAGTTAGCACGACACCAGAGGCCTGATACGGAGGCAGCTAAGTGAAATAATTAGGAATACTCCTGCTACCAGGCTGAGTTTATCCCAGAGATGTACTGTTTGCAACCATTAAAAAATGCTTTGTTAAACAGATTATTGTGCTGTAAAATCCTCAGGTGATCAGGTTACAGAAGTTAGGATGTAAGACGGTTGAAAAACTGCACTTTCTTTTACATCCCATCGTTAGACAGCTGCATTCTTTTTCATCCATGGACATGCCCACACGTGATTTAAGCTTTCTAGGTGTGTCTCGTCTTTGCTTGTTTATTATCTGTGTATATAAGATGGAAAAAATTTCTATTTCCCCCTGTAAAGTGAAGTGAATGACTTCTATGGGATGATGACGCTACTGCTCACTTGATATATGACCTCAGTAAACATTTGCCTAGTTTGTTTATGTTCTCGATCACAAGTTTCAAGCCCATACAACAGAACATGATGTTCTTTTAATAAATGGCCCTCTCAATTACGGAGAACAATATTACACATTGTGGCATGCTTTAGGGTGTAGCTTGATAGGCTAGTCACTACAAAATCTCAGATCTACACCTCTGTTGTCAGGTGTGGTTTCATAACTCTAAAATTATGTGGTCCAGCTATGATAAAACATTTTGTGTCTGATCTGTCGGAAAAACTATATCGCTGTATCCGAGCTTGAACCTGGACTGAACAAACTGGTTTGTTGCAAGTATATTCTTAAGCTTTTCTCATGTTAAATGTACGGTTTGGAAATACTCCAACTTGCCTATACACAAGCACATGCCTCTGTTCAACAGTTCAGAGTTCAAAGTTAAGAGTTCAATGCCCCTGATTGCACAAAATGACTCTGTAAAGTTGCCAATAACAGGGTTTGATGCGTTGGGGTTACATCATTACAAATTCATGTGCGTGTGTGTTCAGTGTTATATAATATGACAGGAACAAGATAAAGCTAGGGTATAAAGGTGAAGGACCATTTCTCTGCAGTGTTTATGAAACATATCGTTAGAGTGAAGAAAGGCAAGAAAAAAATTAAATAACTGAGTCTGAGTCAAAGCATCATAACATACTGCACATGATGATGATTGTAAAGAAGTGAGACAAACTAGTATTCTGATGATTTTTAGGCACTTTTATATTATTAGCACAGCCTTCAGTAAAGTCCGCTTCCTTATCTTGTCATCTTAAATTATGGAAAATTTAAAAATATCATCGTAGCTTATTACACATAAAAAACAAATGTGATATACATTTAAAGAATTAAGAGGCCTACTGTAATGCTTCAAAATAAACATTCAGCTCAAAGTGTGTGTTTGTGCATGTGTTTTAGTATAAGACATCTTACTTGCAATCTGGCCCAGCAAAAGAGAAGCTTCAGTGTGAATCGTAGCAAAGTAGCATGCAGTCGTTGTTCCATTTCTCAGAGTTCTTCTCTGTAAAGCACAGGGATCATATCACAGGATTAAGACCAAATCAACACTTCTGAGACCCTTAACTCACAGGCTGAGTCACAATCCGATTTCTTTTTTGGCTTGTTGAATGTCTTTAATCAACAACTTTGAACTGATGCAAATGTTCAAAGTTTCACATCAAGAAATAAGTGTCCAAAGTCACTTGTCTCTTGATGTTGGCAAACTCACCACTATTTGAGTGTAGACCTTGCGGGCGAACTCCAAGTCCTTGAAGCATGACTCCACAGGAAAGGTGTAAGCATTAAGCCACTGCAGTAACGGCATGTCCAATGCGGTGCCAGCGTAGCTGTACTGTGATGCATGGATGTGGGTATCTACAAGTCCTGGCATGAAGAACTCACTAGAATGAAGCAAGCCAAAAAAAAC